GTGTGTGTGTGTGTGTGTGTGTGTGTGTGTGTGTGTGTCCGTCCCACTCAACTCCACTTCATTTAACCTCTCACAAGGGCCAGTTTGGTTAAAATGCTAGAAACTGTCCTGATTTCTCTGATTTAACAGTGTAAGTCACAAGCTTCTCTTTCATCAGCCTCGATGCTGCTGATACTTGCGAGGCCTGCCCTCCAGTGTGTTGCTGGGCGTATGTCACAGCATCCACTAGATTCTAGGAGCTTCCAGTCTTCCACGTTGGGACAGCAGAAGTGTCTCTGGAGTTATAGAATGTATCAGGCCGAAAAATCACTGCTTTAAAATTTAAGGGGCTCTAAGTATGGTCCCCGACAAGGATGTTTGTGGGTGAGGCCCAGTGAATGGTGTTTCCAGATTGTTCTCCTGATACAGAAAGTGCACTCCTTTACGTCACCCTTTGCCCCACTTTTCTTCTCTATGGCATGCTTTAACAATTACCAAATATCACTCAGCTAATGTTAGAAACTTTAAGAACATGAGACTCAGCAAAGAAAGGTATTTCAGCAATGTTTTCTGCCTGTTTTTAGCACCGGGGCATAGACGGGCAGGAGACATGGGACAGCTGAAGAAAGGGCTTTAGCACGTGTCTGACACTGTCTCCTTACGTTCTAAGGGAGGAGCTGAGGACTGGAGAAAGTCAGACCATGAAGTAGTTTATAGCAAAGCTGGAAATAGAATCCAGATTTCTCTGCCTTTTTACTCTGTGTCTCATTCTTCATTAGGTACTTGGGAATCAACCCCAGAAACCTTCCTACATAATATTTGCAAGTCCCTGAATAAGCCAGGCATAGAATAAATAGCACCAGATGTGAAACTACAAGATCCTTTAGGCTCAAGTTCCTGTTCTGTTCCTTTTTCTTTATCTGTAAAACGAAGATGTTGTTCTGCACCATTGAGTCAGAACTGACCCTTAGCTGACCCTCCAGTGGGTTTTCAGAGGCGGTTAATAACAAGGAGGAGGAGACTGCCTATCTTTTTCCCGAGGAGCAGCCAGTGGATTTGAACCATGTGCCTTTGAGTTACATTGTGGTTTCTTCAGTGTTGCTCCAAGAGTTAAGATAAAAAAGTTATAAAGCATTATGAACAAAGTTACTAATTGCCATCACGTGTCCTAATCCGTGGCAATTCCAAAATATGCTCCATATGGTTTCCAGTGGCTTAATTGGTTTTTTCTTTTTAGTAGATCATCAGCTTAGTGTTAAAGAGTGCTGCCAACCCAGAGGCAGATGGTTCAAACCCACCAGCTGCTCAGTGGGAAAAAGATTAACAGTCTCCTCCCATGTGATTTACCGCCTCTAAAAACCTGCTGGAGAATCAGCTATAAATTGGTTCCTACTCAGTGGGTCATTACAACTACCAACAATACCTTCTGAAGTGCTTCTGGGTGGACTTGATCTTTTAACAGCTGAGTGCATTAACCATTCACACTCCCTAGGAACTCTATAAAGTACTATGCAGACTTCAAGTCAATGTAGATTTAGTTATTGTGTTAGTAAGAAGGAATATTGGTATTTCTTTTCTTGTCATCCTTAATGGATATTATCATCTAAAACACAAATAGGAAGGAAAAGCTAAGGAAGGTTGGGATAGGAACAAATGGTGAAGGATGAGTCAGTGGCCTGAATGAAGGTCCAATCAATTGAATACTGGGGACTGTTGCATCACTGGCTTGAGATTTTGATTGTACCTTGTTGATGTCCTCTGAACTCTTGGGCCAACTTGAATGTGTGAGGCCTGAGTGTGTATATGCTGACCACCTGAGTGGAGGCGTCGGTCATTTCCCCAACATCCAGTGAGAAAACAGTTTATTGTGGAAATGATACAAATTACAGATACCACAGGCCTGCATCAGTTATTAGAGCATGTCCAGAAACTGGCCAAGGAAGTAGGTGGAGGGCCACTGTATAAAAGAGGGATTTGACTGCTCTGGAGAGTAGCACTGGAGTTGGTGGCAGGGCCTGATGAACATCTGGTGCTGGAAGGGAGCATGTCTCTCTCCAAGAAATAGCCCATCCTAGAAATATGCCGAAAGTATGTGAGGTGAGACCTCATCATTTTTGCATCCAAAGAGCACTCTGGCTGCACTCTCTCCAAGATATTTTTCTGTTCTCTTGGCCATCAATGGGATGTTCAGTGCTCTTCTCCAACATCATAGCTCAAATGCTCAAATTGGTCTTTTCTGTCATCCAGCTCTCAGGTGCATAGTAAGTGATCAAAAAGACTATGGCCTGAATCAGATGCACCTTAATCCTCAAGCTGACATCACTATTCCTCAATAATTTTAGAGGTTCCTAAGTGCACACTTTCCCCGTGCAGTGTGTCTCCTTATTTCCTGACTGTTTGTACCAAGGGTGTTAGTTGTGGATCCAAGCAAGATGAACCTGTTGACAGTTTCAATCTCCTCTCCAACTTTGTTGCTAGAGAGAATATTCTGGACTCAAATGGAGGTTCATCTCATTGCACCTCCCTAACTTGAAGTTCTCTGAGGATCAAAAACCCTTAATTCAGGGTTCATCCAGAGAATTTCACAGAGAATCTACTGAATCATCAAAGCTAGAGAAAAAATTTGAGGCAGGAAGAAATTAAGAGCTTGAGCCTCATCATGGTGCTACTGAGGGAAAAAAATGTGAGCAGCTTCTTAGGGCCAGGGAAAGAAGTCTGTCTAAAAGGAGACACATCTGAGGACTCCTGAGTGCTGACCAGAAGTCTTGAGGACAGAGGCCTTGTTAGTTGGGAGGACTGTTTACAGATAAACAGTTGAGGAAAGCAATGCCTTCTTTGAGATTCTTACTTGTACAGTCACAGTATGGAATGAAAACAAGATGATGAACCAAAAAGGCATGGATTAGTGCAGCAAAGGCAAGTGTTTCAAATCCATCAGCTACTCCATGGGAGGTGGATGGGCATTCTCTTTCCATGAGATTTACTGCTTCTGAAAACCCACTGGTCAACTCTGGATCAGTTTCTACTCAGTGGCACTCAGTGAAAATAAATGATGCCCACAGGGGGACACTCTGTACATGATACTATTGTTTTGTGCTACTAAGTTAACCCAAGCATGGTGACCTGTGTAGAACAGAGAGAAACACTGCCCAGTCCTGCTTTATCCACACAGTGGCTGCTACACTGAGCCCATTGGTGTAACCATCATATCTACTTACCTTCTATTTTTCACTTCCCAGTTGTGTCTTGAGTGGCAGCTTTATACGACCAATTGGTTTTCTGATCAATCATTCCTATAGAATTTGTTTTATGCCATTAAGTCTAGTTATTCTCCTGTCTCCTTCCTGTCTTTCCCATTTCCATTCATCTTTCTAACTTGTCCTTCTGACCTGATGAGCTTTCCCACTGCCCTTTTGATCTTGTGTGATTGATTTCTCTCAAGGGCTCACAACTTCTGGAGTGGTTCTTTACTTGCTAAGTGCATCTTAGCACCTGCTAAGTTTTCTGGCTGAAAACTGTGCTGCAGTTGTGAGCTAGTTCTCTGTTCAAGGAGTTACTGAAGGTCACGCTCAGGGGTTCCACCAGTCTCTATTAGACCAGCAAACCTGACCATTTTTATTATTTTTAAGTTTCATTTCATATTTTTCTCCATCCCTGTCCAAGACTCTCCAGTATGAGGTGCATACATACAATCGACTGATTAATCCTTTGACGTAGTTGTTTCTCTGTGTCTTTCACTTTCTTCACCCTGCTTTGGTCCAATCAAAGAAATACTAATTGTTACTGATGAATGTTTTAAGACCTCGATTGATACTCCTTATAGTAGGAAGAAGAACATTTTTCTGTAGACTGTGTCATTCCATTTGACCTTGATGTCCCCAGAGGGTATAGTCCTGAGGCCCAGGCACTAGCATTTCATTGTCTCAGAGCATTTGATGAGGATAAAGAAATTGCATCATTTTGTTGTCTGATAGCTCTTTCATGTTATTGCTTGGTGCTATTGAGTTGACTGTGACTCATAAGAACCTTATGAACAACAGATCTGAGTCTGCACCAGCATCATGGTCTCTGTCATACTCAGCCTCACTATGGTAACGGCTGTGTCAATCCATATTATTGTGGGATTTTCTCTGTTTCTCTGACCATTCGCCTTTCCCAGCATGATGTCTCTCTTCAAGGATTGGTTCCTCCTGAGAATGTGCCCAAGATAAGCTCTATCCTATATATGGATCTACTTACTGCATGTACAACTCTCATCTGGCAATCTTGTGTGTTTATGAGTGTGAATCTTTTTCAGCTTCTTGCATCTGTTCATCTTGCCTGTTGGCCTGTGTATACACTTGCTGATTGATGCCTATTGATTGTACACACTATGCATGTAATGATGTCTACCTCTGATATCTTCTATACCTCTTGCTCAGCTCTCCACATCTTCTCTTTCTCTGATGACATGCTGATCACTCCCTTACTGTGCATTTCCTTCCTTTTCACCTATCTTAATATGTAGCTTTGACCTTGTTAGGGGATTTCCCCCCTCTCTTCTTCCCCTTCCTTTCCAAGTAACCATCAAAGAATGTGTCTCTCTCTGTGTAAACCTTACCTTAGCTTTTAAAAAAAGTGGACTCATACAGTATTTGTCCTTTTGTGACATTTCTCTCAGCAAAATGTCCAGAACTGGCGGGCGGCGGCGTGCGTTCCCCCCGGCGGGTGGCGGGGTGCTTTCCCCCGGCTGGCGGCGGCGTGCGTTCCCCCGGTGTTCCCCGGTCTGGCGGGGAACTGTCCATGTTTTGTAGTGTTTTATGAATTTGTTGCTTTTTAATGGT